GGTTCAACGCAGAAGTATAGATTCCGCCTTAAACTCAAGGAATGGCTGATTAGAATTTGTTGGTCAGAGGTCAAGGTCACTGCTGCTGGACCAAAAATCCTCAGGTAAACACTGTAGCTATATCATTGTGATAAGGTGATATGTAAATATTGTGCTTCCAGCTTGTATCGCTGCCCCCAAACGGGCAAAAATCACTTAATCCATGTTCAAGCTCTGATTTATTCCATCTTAATAATTAATGTTTTTCTCATTAAAAATGCAGGTAGCAGTAGCTGCAGTGGATATACTCCTATGCTGTTGGGAAACTTCCTATTAAACTCTCCAACTTTCATAAGCAAACTCCTCTATGTTGGTCTCTTCTTTATAAGCACAAGTATTCTCCTCACAAATGTGTTTATGGAGCAGAGCCAATATACGTATAGAAATGAGTCCATTTTCTTTGAACATTGGTTTAACAGCAACATTGTGCTTGTGACGCAACTATTTGACAACTTTTGTATTCACGTAGTGATTTCAAAGACATAGTATTCCTGTCTCCCAACGTGAGTAACACTGTAGTAAATGCACTGCTAACTGGCATCATATTAATCAGACATTCACTTATTCCAAGAACAGTACTGCTAAATATAATTGGACAGGTCAGACTCTTGATGGTGAGACATGTAGTCCTGTATTCACTCTTCCTTCCTGCCCAACAAAACCAAAGAGCTGCTTTTTGGGGTTATAGATAGATATTATCCAGAGAATTCTGTTATTTATAAATACATCCCTGATATAACTGACAAATGCACCTTCAAGGTAAACTTTATTATCCCACAAGTGGGAAATTCATCATGGTCACCATTACATATTCCATTGTTATACAGCCTACTTTATAGCATTAAAAACAATAAATACAAAACATTAGAAAAGAAAAACAGGGACAAGACAGACAAAACAGTAAGAACATTGGGGAAACATGACAAGCATGTATGAATAAATAAAATAGTGGGATGCTCATATATATGCTCATAGTTTAAAGTGCTTAGGAATTTTTAAATCTATTGTTGTGCAGTCTAATTGCTGTAGGCACAAAAGACTTGCTATACCTTGTGGTCCTAATTTTCCTCTGCAGGATTCTGCCACTTAACCTGCTACTTCTTAAAAACCTCAGATGAAGAGGGTGGGTTAAGTCATTTAGAATTTGTTCTGTCTTTTTTAGACTGAGGTCGTTGTACAGTTGAGCTACAGATACCTGATCAACTCCAGTGATCCTACTGGCTGTTTTGACTATTCGTTGCAGTTTCTTCTGATCCTGAATATACATGTTTCCAAAGGCACACAGAAGGCCAAAGGATAAGACACTCTGCAAGAGAGCTTTGTAAAACATCTGAAGAATACAGCTATCTATTCTAAAATGATTGCGTTTCCTTAAAAAAAACATCCTCTTCTGCAACTTTTTGGTCTTATTTTGTGCACATTCACTGAATGTCAGTTTGTTGTCAATTTCAACACCCAAATATGTGTATGTTGAAACCCGCTGTACCACTACACCATTGATATTTGAGGGTGGAACTATAATTCCCTTTTTATTAAAATCTATGACCATCTCTTTTGTTTTCTTCGCATTAACCACAAGGAAATTATCTGTACACCATTTAATAGAACCCTGCATCTCCCTCTCAAAACCCTCTAGGGATGCAGTGTCAGACTTTAAAAACCCCACTAATGCTGTATCATCAGCATATTTAAAATAAGTGTGGTCTGGGAACGTTGCTTGGCAGTTATTAGTGTCTAAGGTGTATAGAATAGGGGACAGAACGCACCCTTGTGGTGCCTCCATGTTTGTGGCTTTTAATAATGAGACACATGAATTGAATTTGACTTGTTGACTGCGGTTAGTCAAAAAGTCATAAATCCACAAAACTAATCTTGGATTTACCCCGAGGTTTACCAATTTTTTTACCATCAGGTGGGGTTGGATTGTGTTGAAGGCACTGCTGAAGTCTATGAACACAACCTTGACAAGACTCTTTGCCTGTTCAAGGTGCTCATATATGTTGTTTGTCAAGGTCAGCAGTGCATCTTCAACCCCTCTCTCTGCACGATATGCAGATTGGTTTGGGTCTAGAAATGGTGTGACCTCACATAAAAGCTGTTTCAGAATTATTTTTTCAAAACATTTCATTACTGTAGATGTTAGGGCAACAGGGTGCAGGTCGTTAAGTTCCTTAGGTTTATTGTTTTTAGGTACGGGCACAGTCAGAGATTTTTTCCATAGACAAGGAACTACACGAGTGTCTAATGACAGCTGGAACAGCCTTTGAAAGGGCTGTGCCAACTGATCTGCACACACCTTTAATGTCCTGCTGCTAATACCATCAGGCCCACTAGCTTTACGGGGATTCACGTCTGAAGTAAGATTTAACATCGTCTATAGAAATGTCAGTGTCCACACACTTCATACCACTGATTTCTTTATAAACCAAGTCCTGTTCAGCTGTAAAATCATGTATATCAAATCTACAATAAAAATCATTCAGGTCATTGGCCATTTCAAGTTCATTATCCACTGCCATGAGATGTTTCTTAGGCTTGTATCCTGTGATTGCCTGAACCCCCTGCCATGCTCTCCTAGCATCGTTTCTAAAAAAGTTCTCTAATTTACGTTTATATACTGCTTTACAGTCCCTGATCATCCTTTTTATGTTTTTCTGCATTGTCCTTTTCTCTTCTTTATTTCCTCCCAATTTGAACAGTCACTTTTTTTGGTTAAGAAGTTGTTTTAGTTCCAAAGTTACCTAGGGCTTGTTGCTGGAAAACATCTTAACAGTCTTTTTGGGAATGATTGTGTCCTCACAGAATGTTATGTACCCCGATATAGCAAGCGCCGCGTCATTGACGTTTTCGGTCCCGTCGGTCACCACATTCCAGTCCGTGCGCTGCAGGCAATCTCGCAGTGTCTCGGTAGCGGCAGCAATCCAGCTCTTAACCTCCACCTTTTTGGCTTTCTCACGCCGCAGCCGGGACACATAGGAGGGCATCAGTTTAATCATGTTGTGATCTGAGTTCCCTAAACCGGGCAGTGCTTTAGAACAGAAGGCATCCTGGATATTTCCATAGCACTGGTCGAGGCAGGCTGTGTTGCGAGTGGGACAGGTGACATATTGCTGATATGTGGGTAGGTGCTCCTTTAGGCTGCATAAATTGAAGTCTCCCATCACAAAGTTAGCTGTGACGATCTTCTGGACTGATTTACAGTTGGGTCTCCAATGACATTTTGGCAAAAACATTTCACTCGAAGAACCTGATTTCTTAATAATACTCCAAAATTCAAATTTACAATATATACAAGAATATATAAGTAATTTATTTGTTTTATTATCTTAGCTTAATTTTATCATCATAAAACAAAATCTTTAAAGGGGAACTAATGTTTTTTTCAACCTGGGCCCTATTTTCCGATCTACTTTTGTCTAAATGAGTGATAGCATGTTCAATATGAGACATTTCTCCAGTACGAAGCTAGGGCTGACCTGCCTGCAGCCCGTGAACGCGCGCTATATTAAATAATAGGGCACTCAGACAGCGTCAAGCAATGTCAAAATACGTCCACTAAAAGTGCATTTTTTTCACACAGTTAGGCTCGGATTGTTAGTGTAATTATCTGACAACATAACGGAAAGGACAAATGAACGTCTCTGTTTACCTTTAGCTGGATTCAGACATGTTCCTCTGCCTGTTGCTGCTCCCTCTCTCTCCTCGTCCGCTCTTCAGTTTCAATGAGCTCTGCGTCCGTGTACGTCTGTGTACTCCGTGTTCAAATAAATACGGGCGCTCATCAAATTCAAATGGCTCATCCAGATCCAGTTGGTCAAAATCGGGTAAAAATTCAGCCATGACTACTCCAAACAGAGTAACTCCTCGCGTTTGTAAGGTCACTCCAGCAGTAACTTCCTGCTACAACTCGAATCTCGCGAGACGTTTTCAGAGCCAGACTTTCACTCTCTGTTTTGACTTGCCACAACAAATATGTCCAAATTTTTACCCAATTTTGACCAACTGGATCTGGATGAGCCATTTGAATTTGATGAGCGCCCGTATTTATTTGAACACGGATGTACACAGATGCAGAGCTCATTGAAATTGAAGAGCGGACGAGGAGAGAGAGGGAGCAGCAACATGTTCCACCTGTCCTGTGTCAGTGGGATTGATGTGGTTGAAATGAAACAAAAATTAAGAGCATCTATATTCTTCTGTTCAGGACTGATAATTTTCAGATGTTTTATATGTATGTATGAATATATTTTTATTTTTATTTATTTTATTTATTTAATTTTATTTATTTAAAAGGGACAATGTACAGCTCAAACATAAATGTCACCATTTGATGCACCGTACCAGATTATAGCTTCAAGCTAATTCGCGTCTGTAGTCCACATATTTTGTGTGTGTGTGTGTGTGTGTGTGTGTGTGTGTGTGTGTGTGTGTGTGAGCAGGGACGACAGACCATGGATGTGCACATTCTGTGTATTCAGAACCTCTCAGTCGTGGCTTTACCCAGATCAGCAGAAGAAGGAAGAAGTCTTGTCTCGCCAGATATCCCAACGCATGCTGGTGAGCACGCCGTCTGACTCTGTGCCCTCACATCGTAACGCCTGCCTCTCTGACACACCGCCGCCTCTCACCTCCTCTTCTCTTACATCAACAGCAGTGCCAGTATCTCCTCCTGTATCTGTGCAGTGCTGATGAGGAACAAATATTTGCCACCAACCCATGCCTCTACGTGAGTCTCTGTCTTGCTCCTCTCATGCACCTGTTTACTGTCTTCATATTTGTGGGAAATAATACAGATAAAGAGGAATGACGCTGTCCTCAGGTGCTTATGATGGTCTGAAGCTCGTGTAAACACACAAAGTTGTTGCAGAGTGTTGAGTATTTCATTCATTTCTGCTCAGCACCCACAGTTGCAAGATTACTCCACTGTGATCAAGACTCCCATGTGGCTCGGTAAAGTTGCAGACAAACTCCAGGAGCAACTCTACCAGACGGTTGGAGAGTTTGTGTCCGATGTTCAGCTCATTTTCACCAACTGTGCCACGTACAACCGAGTAAGTAACAAGAGAGAACCTCACACAATCTCACTTCAAAAGGTCCGAACTATCCCTTTAAAAAAAGGAGGTTTTCATCAACAGTTAAGTACATGTTTTAAGTATGTGTTTTAGTGACATGGACTGTTGTGTTCTTTTGCAGGACAACGCTGAATTCCTTGCCAAGGGCAACGGACTGAAGAAGTTATTCGATGGAGAATTTAAAAGTGTGTTCAACATCAGTGATAACTGATGACGGGTAAATGGTGTTTAGTTTTCATATTCAGTAGCTTCTGGGAAAAGGTTAAAACATTTAAATAGCCCTGTGGTATATGTCTTTCTGATTGATGCCTCTGCTGCAGTCACAGTATTTCAGAATAATAATCAATAAGAGGTAAAGGTACTTTAACTGGAATTAAGTCAGACAGAAATGATCCAGTTTAACTTGAGGTCTTTTTGTGGTAAGGATACCTGCAGTGACAGAGCTGTTAGTGGCCGAGTTGCATTGTGGGTAATGTAGCCGCCAGGTTTTTCATGGATGCAAATTGTCGCTGGAATAATAATATTAGGACAATATCTGTTGTTCTGATTTTGATCCAGTGTTACAGGAGTGTACTTTTTACAAATAATGTAGTTTGATTAAAGTGAGTGTCACTACCAGGGCTGGGTTAAAATTATCGATTCATCTCATCTAAATTGATCGTCATTTGAATGACACTATATCGATTCATAAAATCCTAAATTGATCTTTTAATATATATGTTTCCCCACAGATGTGTGAAGCTTTAACCACGTTAATCTCGCAGATAGTAAACGAGCCGCGGCGCTTAATTATTAATGATCAAAGTCTTGAGAAGCTCTGAAGTTACCAGCTCCTTTATCTGTAACTGTTTGCTCACTTTTTTAGTTTTGGTCTGTTCCACTTTTAAAGGCTTTAACCGCCTGGGAAACGTGAGGTCGGATTCTGGGCGCTACTTTTGTGCCTTTTTTGTGCCAGCTTTCAAGAGCACAGCGGCAGGTTGCGTCAACCTTAACAATCATATCCTGTTCACCTGAAATCCTGAGTGCAGAGCTGATCTTTCTTCCAGGAGCTGTTTATAAGTGTGTAGGCCTGTTGTCTATGGGACAGATGTAAAGCTCTGGGTAGCCCTGCACTAACATGATCAACTTCATATTTATCACAGGCTGATATGTACGGATGAAGGGAAAGATACTGTATGTGAAGCTGTGATTGGTTGTTCCTCGTCACATGTCATGTGGTACATGCTGCTGTGTTCCTAAAGTTGAACGCTGTTTATCCTAGGGCACAAAAATGCACGCTGCTTGAGCACACCTGCCGCGCTTCTATATTGAAAACAATGATTTTTAAGGTGCAAAAGGGTTGTGTACAGCATTTTAGATTGGTTTCCAGTGAAATTTGAGTTTGTATTATGACTTAATATTGCTGTTGCTGCTCTAGAAACATTTAGTTATAAAATATTCAGTTTTAATCCTGTTCTGAATTTATTCCCTTTTTTCAAATAATTCCTTGTAAAAGTTACACTATTAGTTCTCTGAGAATCTCTTTCACATATTAGCAAAAACTGGTATTGTAACTGAAATATCCCCAATACAGTCAATATTGAATAGAATAAAATCAAATCGGAAATCGAATTGAATCGGGACCTTGTGAATCTAAATGGAATCTATTCAGGAAATCAGTGGCGATACTCAGCCCTAGTCACTACAGTACTTGTGAACAGTGAACTTATCATTTTGGGATGATCCTCAGCACATGATGAGATTTCAGAACAGCTGAAACTGCTTATAGTGATCACGGGTCATATTCATCACTATAAACAGATGATTATTATGATTATTTTCCTTATTTCTCACACAGATTACCATCTCATTGACATGTGCAGTCTATATTTATTACATGAATAGAAAAGGTTTAAAGGGCCAGTGTGTAAAATGGGTTGAAAACAGTGACATGTAGCGCTAAGATTCTAGATTGCAGTGCTCACTCGTTCGCCTGTGCTCACCCCTCCCGTCGGCAAAGTTACGGTGGCCTCCGAGGATAACAAAAGTGGATTCACCGCACACAGGGCTGAATTGCTTCTTATTTTATTAATCAGTCTACAAAACAACTCGTTACGCTTCATCGGGTTTGTTACACAGTCCACAGCACAGGTGATTTGAAATAGGCTGCAGCTGTACTGAATCCAATCAGCAGGGTACACAGGAGTAACGTTACTGCTATCCTGTTGTCTGTTATGCCTTCGACATAAGACTAAAATTTTCACAAGTGTTTTACAATAATTGCTCTACCTGGAGATGATGTAACGTTATGAACTCTCCTCCTCACTCCCTACTTGTCGAGTCTGTATACGTTTACTACGTGCTGACAAATAGTAGCATTTATTTTAGTAGTTTACCTGTCCAGCAGAAAACATGCCACTTCAGCGTCAGATTGAAGCCCTTTGTCCTTCATGAACCCCCTCCATCGCTGAAAAACATCACCGGTGTTTAATCTCTGCCGCTGCTTGTCCCGTTTTCTTTGCCCCTCTTTGCGTCTTCTTTTCCTCGCAGATGACGGTTCGGGTTCATTCTCTCCTGTTGTGTGGTAAGTGTGGTCCATTCGCAAACTTTATATCTAAAAAAACTTTTCACTACTCTCTATCGACGAACTACTAACACTCTGCTGTTTCCTCCTCCTTCTTCCTTCCTTCCATTGTCTTCTTCGTTGGTTTATTTATAAACTCTGGCTGGCTGGATTGTCCACTCGGGCTGCCGTACATACATGGCGGCGCAAGATGGCGACCTCTCTAAAGCAAGGCCCTTGCTATATATATATATATATATATATAATATATATATATATATGTATAAAAGCATAATTATAAGGCTACAAAAACCAAACGAATTTTATTTTATAGCGATTATACACTTATATAAACATATTAATGAGTAGAATATTCAGATTCAGATTCAGATTTGACAATAAACCATGCCAAATATTACACACTGGCCCTTTAAAATACAGCACAACTGTTTCATTCCATGACCGGGCATTATCACATGACGAGGTCGGCTTTAATCGCAGGTGCTTCCCTGTATGCATTCATTTTCTGTCTCCATGACTAGCAGCTGTAAAATGACTTTCTTTTATCTGTCATGATTTCAATGTGCACACAGCACCAGCCTCAGGTGGTCAGTAAAGTAAAATAATAGTAATACATTTACTGTAGGTTTAAATTAATTCTCTAGAAGTTCTCATGTATGTGGATGTGGACGACTTGATTACTGTTAGCAAATTATTTAACAGCGTTTGTAAAGGAACGATTGTGTCCCAAGCTTTTTGAGGTAGATCACTAATTGTGATCTTTTTATCACAGTATAATTCTACTGCAGTGCATTTTGTTTACTCCTAAAGGGTGCAATATAGTCAGTGCCTTTCTTTACTGATGTAATAAACATTTTTAATATTTCTATGTCTTTATTAAACAGGAGTTTGTACAATGGAGACAAACTATTTTATATTAGTACTTTAAAGTTAAGTAAAAATTAATTTTCTGTGTGTTGCGTCAAACCTTCTTTTTACTGACATGTTTCATCTGATGTTGCACCACATGTGAGGAGAGTGTCAAGATGTATGTATTATGACAAAAGTCAGTATTTGACTTTGTATTTGTCTGAAACGTTCATCATGCAAATGATCAAACAGGATTTTCATGTCATTCCACAGTATTTCAGGTATGAATCATTTGCACTCTCTGTGTGTGTGTGTGTGTGTCTCACTCTTCTGATCTGTAGCTGGTGGATGTTTGTTTTTAAAATAAAATATTTATGTACATCTTTAAAGACGTCTCATTTTGATAAACCTCCCTCTTTAAGGTTAAATCTGTGTTCCAAATGTAAACAGAAGGCTGTCACCATCTTTTACACAGCAGGTAAATAAAACCTATACTTCTAATTATGGAGGGATTACTGAACAGGCCTAGCGGCACAAGCACGTGGGCCCAAAGTGTCAGTAGGCCTCTAAAAATGGAATATATTACTCATTACTCTTTTCAGTAATTCACTACGCTACTCGTTAAATTACTTTAACATAACACTCCATAAAATTAGTACCTGCATATCTCCCCAAAATTCAGATGTGTGCCCCTGTGTGAATGTCAGGGTGATCAGCGTTAAGTGTAACTAATGCTACATAGCTTCTATTTACCTTTACCTTTCTGTTGCCTGTGACCGGTATTTTCCCAGGGCTGTGCCCCAAAGATGGAGAGTCACTCATGGAGCAACATATCCAACCACAAGCTTCATCACTTCTTTGCAGCTGCAGCTGTACACAATTAAAATCCACTTTTGGTTGTTTAGCCAGTGTAGCAATACAGCGCTGACCTCTGCAGCCGAGGAGGGCTTACCTTTGGTGGGGTGTATTTCCTGGAGTTTCACGCTGTTGTGCTGTCGGTCGTAATAGCCAAGGTGTTTCAGACTGAAGGTTTGAGGATGTGTTTTTTGAAGTGTAAAGTATTTTAGTTTGGCTTCCTGCAGCGACAGTGTTCTTGTCAACTTTCCTCCCGGCAAAACCAATGTAATGGAAATATTTCCATACGTTTAGGTTGGTTTTTCCAGCTAGCTTGGTGCTTTATGATGTGCAGGCACAACACAACAATTATTAAAATGAATCCACTGATGTGATTGTTGTATTTCAAGTCAGTAATGATGTGATTTAAAAAAAAAAGTAACGTAAGGAATTGTTTGGTTTTGGAGTAACTGTAATATTATTACTGAAATTTCATTAGTAATTAGTTACCTTTTCCAGTAACGAGTAGTCTAATATTATTACTGTAATGCATTACTGCCCAACGCTGCTCAAAAGAGACTCAAAGTTGCCACAAAAAAATGCAAACTAACTGCGGAGAGACAAAACAACTACAAAAATAATTCAAAGAGACACAAAACAATTTAAACAGACACCAAATTACCTAAAAGAAACACAAAACACAAACAAATGCTTTATGGCTGCAAAAAGATTCAAAAAAGGAGGTAAAACTACAGAGTCTGTGTGTCTCCTGTGTGGTGGGGTGGTGGGGCCTTTTGCACGTCTGTGCCCAGGTGCCCACTGTCTCATAATCCGCCCCTGCTGCTGAGACAGACACAAAATAATAATATTTCCTGTTAAAAACACAGACTGGTTCCTCCTTTAAAGGAATAATAACATGATGGATATTAGACGCTGTTAATCTCTTATTGAAGCCTCATTGTTACCATGTACTGTATGTGCGGTCAGGTGACGTCACTGACACAGTTGCCAGCAGCAAATCTGTGCTGAGAGCTGCGCAGCCGCGCTGCGCATCCGTCGGCTGAGGTGGACAGTGAGCGCAGCCATTTCTCTGCCCCTCATGAAAAACATCCAGGGGGGGAGTGACGTTTGTCCATCACGCACATAACTACCCCGACGTGCGGGAGTCATGACGTGAGCAGCACATACCGAGGCTCAACTCATCACCGACTGAGATCCGCGCGTTCCAAACTTTCTCCCAATCCAACGCCTGCGCAGACAAACCGGGCTCTGTCTCCTCCATTAGGCTCATGCTGTGCCTCTGTGTCAGCCATGGAGGGGAATGTGCACGGAGACTGCAGCGACGTGGCGGTGATGCACGTGAAAACTGAGGCGGTCGATGAGAATCCATCTGCGCTGGTTTTGGGCAGTCAGGAGTCGCCTGCGCCCTGCGGAGATACCGCATGCAGAGGAAGAGGAGGAGGAGGAGGAGGAGGAGGAGGAGGGGATCAGACTGCAGAGGAGCTGGCTGACACGACAACTACTCCTGTGCTGCTGTGTGAGTGCAGACATCAGCTCGTTTATCTCTCAATCACCTTTTTCTTTATTGTGCAAAATAAATTAAGATTAAAAATTTCAAATAATCTTTTAACATCTTTTTTAAAATTCTTCATCATGATGACATGAATGTGTCTATTATGTGTGTCACCATCAGATCCAGTGAGCACAGACCGCTTCTTCACCACAGCAGGGGATGGAAAGACTTACCTGAAGATAGCTCCAGGTGAGTTCATCAGTGTGTGAGAGGGGGTCATACTTTTACTGCTGTGATTGTTGTCGGTGTGACTTCTGTCATCACAGTGATTTAAAACACACACTCTAGAGCATGCACACACCTGTACAGGAGAGGAACACTCACACACATGACCTTTGATGTGTTAACATGCCTGTTAATGCTGACAGACTTCAAAAAAACAAAAATACCATACCTGGCTAAAATTTATACAAATATATATATAAAGAGATTTTTTCTTAATTAATCTCACCCTCTCCTGGTTTATGGCTGTTTTCAGAACCCAAAATGTTCTGTATCGGAGTTCCAAATATAATGTTGATAATAAAAATGATGCATTTCCATCGTATGTCATGTTAAAGCATTCCATATCTCCATAACATTAAATATCCAAAATCATTTAAGGTATTTTCTGGGACTCTTGAGCCCCGTTTCCACCAAACAAACAACATTTTCTTAACAAAGAGATTGTGTTGCCGTGAGTCTCTCTCCATTGAATATTTAAAAAGAGCTGGTTTGTGCATGTAGTCCTTCTCAGGTTGGGAGAAAACACGTGGATTTGGGAGGCATGCTTTCTACAAAAATTCCCGAAATGACACCATTTATCATCAGAAACTGTAAAAACATAAATTATCTTTGGATTTTCAAATTTGCGACCGTCCTTGTACACATCACGTGCGACAAATATCAAATTATATTTCGTCTAAATAACTTGTATGACTCATTTAAAATTTGGTGCACCAACTAACCACCAGAGTCTTTTTTCAACTCCAGGATTTCATCTTTTTGACACTGACAGGCTCAGATTGTTATTTTTAGTGTTTGGCAACATGATGGAAAGGATCCCCACAGAGATAGAGCTTTTCACTGAAGAGTAAGATCCTTTTAGTTTAACCAGAAACACCCCGAAATCATCATCAAACCCACCAGACTCCATTTAAATACTTTCTTTTAAGTCAACAGAAACAAAAAATAAAACTCACAAAAGCCATCTTGGTTCATCTTTCCACTGCTCCAACAATCACCAACTCTGGTTTGGTTGAAACCCTTAATTCACCCAGTTGGATACGGAAAACATGCTGCCTCTATACACACTAAAATTACTGTTTATTTACATGGAGTCTGGTGGGTCTGGTGATAGAAATTTGGGGGCTGTTCCTGGTTAAACAAAAAGGATCTTACTCTTTCACAAAAAGGTCTATCTCTGTAGGGATCCTTTCCATAATGTTAGACACTTGGAGTAACAATCTGAGCCTGTCAGTGACAAAAACAAGCACTTTGATTGGACGTAAATGAAACATGCCCCAAGTGGTTACATTGCAGCCTGTTTCGCCGCTGCTGGCTGAAGCCCTCTCATTCAATACTGGACCAGTTTAAAAAGCTGTTGTTCCCATTACTCACTAAGACAAAAGAACATGGGAAAATAGAATCCAGGTTGGAAAATGCTGAACTTACCCTTTCGCTCATAATGAAAAGCTGGTCGAGTAAACACATTTTCAGGGTTTTAAAATATATCTCCCACACACATTTACATATGAAGCAACCCCACAGTTTGAAAAGGAAATCTAAATCACCTGTGTCCTCTCTCAGCTTCAGCGATGCCACCTGCTCCTTCAGAGAAGACGCTTCCCTCCGGCTCTGATTTCTCCTCCAAAGCCGTTTTGTGTCTGATAGAGGCGGTCGGGCGCCGCTGGGGCCTCTACGAGACTCGAGAACGCTCACAGCTCTTTCAGAGCGTCCAGGAGGAGATGGCCTCCAAGGGGCACGTGCTTCCTGTCGAAAAGATACGCCGCAAGTGGAACAACCTCATTGTCACATACAAGAGGGTTAAAGACCGCAGCCGGGAGACGGGGCACGCCAAAACATCCTGGGAGTTCTTCGATGTAAGTGTTTCCTTTCAGCACTCTATTTCCTCACAGGGAAAATTTCCCCCAAGGTTGGATCAAATATTAAAATGTCTTTAAAAAATCATCAGACACTTCTTATAGTTTATAAATAATTTTGGGGCTAATTTGGACTTGCAGTTGGCTCAGGAAATGGAACTGGATCAGGTCTGAGTTCTGACCTAGAAACAAGGTACCAACACCAAACAAGCGCAAGCTAAAGTTTCATACTGAAAGTTAATATTAATCAGAAGACACATCCCACTGGCTGACAATTACTTTCTACTTCAGGGTCTCCATCCCATTTGGCAAAGTCCCTTGAATGTTCTCGCATGGTCTGCCCGTCTATACGCCGTATACAGTATACAGAGTCTTTACAGTTCTAGAAACGTGAATATGTCTCTCAGCTTTGCCAGGCACATTCCACCTCAACAACCTGGCCACCAGAAGAAAACGTTGGCATTGTATTTTTCTGCAAACCACAGATATGTTACATTTGTACATCTTATCAATGTTTCCAAAGTGACGTAGTTCTGATTGCATTGTCATCAGGAGGTGTAGGGAATAATGGATGGTTTGAGACCTAGTCGAGACGGCTGCCAAGCTGCAGACCAATGTTCAAGACCAACAAACAACAAAACGGTTGTGTTTTAGCAACCCATTGCGGCATTTCCAGAGGCGATTGTGCCACCAAATATGGGCATTTTAAACCAAAACATGATCCTTATCTACCCATAACTAATGATCAATTGTAGACACCCCTTGCCCCTTCCACTTAGCCCTACCCCTTTGTTCTACCCACACATACCCCTTCATTTTGCATGTTCATGTCTAGGGGTAGAGTGTTCAGAGTCCTGTTGGACTAGAGGAGTAGGGCGAAGTGTTGGGGCTACATGGCCCTGCAAGCAGAGGTGTTTCAGAGGCACACTTTAAACTGAGGGTTACAAGAATTCATTGGCAATATGGCGTCACAAGCAACAAAAAAATCCACATAAATGTTAATTTTTTTGTTAGTACAGATTTAAAAATTCTGACGACCTGCGTATTGTCTTAGTGTAACGTTGTTTCAATGTATTGCGGTCCTTTTCTTCATAACAAACATTACCAAAAAAAACAGCTAGTATGCCGATGTCTTGGTAGATAACTGGCTAGCTAGCTGTCGTCCCAGTGAATTAAACAGTGTTCACAGCTCCACCTTTTAGTACCAGATCTGTGTGCTAGGTACCCCAACAGAGGGGGGACCAAACATGGGGACGGTACCGAACGATTCCATTGGTACCATCCACAACTTTTCACAATGGAAACTGAAAAATAAATGTGTCCTGAACTGAACCGGACTGCCTGGTGGATACAAGGCTCATAGTGCTGTGGTAAGAACGATAGTCTCTGCGTCTAACAAGCTCGCAGGGCAGAGTATACTCTTACAAAATCAAAACCTGATCTCCTGATCTGATCACAAATAACTTGAGTTGTTTATTTCCTCTCTCCATCTCTTTATGTCTCTATAGTTGATGGACGCCACACTCTGTGACACTGTTGGCACTCAGATCGTCAGCAACAAAAGAAACAAAGGTGGCAACACTGTTTCCACGCTGCCCGGTCCTTTGGCAAAGATCGCTGCAAAACCACAGGTTCCGCAGCCCACCACCATCATCCGCCCGAATGGGGACTTTACTTCGACTGGTGGTGTGGACTCAGCGGGTCAGGGAGCCATCAGCAGTCAAATCATCAGTAGCGTTGCTGCCATTACCTCAGTGACTACAGCCACCATTAGCCCAACAAATGCTCCAGAGCTCAAGCCCCTGATCGTCCTCAACAGTGACATTGTTACAACCAGCATTCATCCAGCCACCATTGTGCCATCTCCATCTTTTATCTCCTCGCCTTGTTTTACAGAGACAGCTTCTACTTCCCCTTCCCTTGGCTCCATTAGCAACGCAGAGCTCAACGCGTCACGCTACATAGGCCGTAAAGCTCAATCATTCCCATCAGGCGTCATACCCTTCCGGCTCAGCAGTGTGCCACTTAGCAACAATCAGAATCTCCTCGGCCTCTCCTCCTCTTTCCCCCATACTTCCTCCTGTCTCACTTCTTCTATCACCACCTCCTTACCTGCAGCAACCATGTCAGGAACTGAGGGCCAGAACCAGAAAGGAAATGAGGAGCAAACAAGCACAACTTTGTTCCAGGAGATTCTGAAGCGACAGGAGGAGCAGGCCTACCTGGACCGAGTGGCTCGCCGCAGGGTGGAAGCCAGAGAGAAGAGGCGCGAGAGGAGGGAGGTGCGGATGGCAGAGTCCCTCGGCAGGATAGCCACAGCACTGGAGCTGCTCTCCTCCAAACAGGACACAGTCATTGCCCTCCTGCAGAGACTGGCTGATCGGAAGTGATGAAGGGTGAAAGCAGGGACTCTGTAATTCTGAGACCACACATATGAAAACTTCTTAACACTCCTACCATGCAATTACCCAGAGTTCCATAATGCTACTGAAAAGGGTTTTACTCTCCTGATTTTGATGTAAATAAAATTCTAAAAAATCATGTAAGCTGCTCACTTTTCTAAAGGTAAGTTTGGTATTTTTAAACCTGGAACAACCATTTATTAAACTGGTCCAGGTCTGGGCGAGAGTGCTTCAGCTGGCAGCCGCAAAACCGGCTGCAATGTAACCACTCGGGGCATATTTGCACCATCAATTGACTTCCACTAAAAGCGCTTGTTTTTGCCTATTACAGGCTCGGATTGTTAGTCCAGGTGTCTGACAACTTATGGAAAGGATCCCGACAGAGATAGACTTTTTTGTCAAAGAGTAAGATCATTTTTCTTTAATCAGAAACAGCCCCAAAATGGCCAGCACCAGTTCAACCAGACTCCATTTAAAAAAAAACAGTAATTTTAGCATGTGCAGAGGCAGCATATTTTCATTTCTAACTGGGTGAATTAAGGGCTTATTTCAACCAAACCAGAGTTAATGATTATTGGAACTGTGGAAAGACAAACCAAAATGTTTTTGTGAGTTTTATTTTGTTTCTGTTGACTTTGAATAAAGTGTATGTTTTACGATGATAGAATTATAGCATTTTTACATGGAGTCTGGTGGCTTTGGTAGTTGCTATTTTGGGGCTGTTTCTGGTTAAACAAAAAGGATCTTACTCTTTAACAAAAAGGTCTGTCTCTGTAGGGATCCTTTGCATAAGTTGTCAGACACCTATGATTATAACCTGAGCCTGTCAGTGGCAAAAACAAGCATTTGTAGTGGACATAAATTGACAGTGCGCGGCTCAGACCAGGGTCCGGCAACAACACAGCTGTGCTCCATTGACTCTAATGCAGTGGTGTCAGATTTCCTTCATTTTCAGGCTGGTTTTGTGGATTTGGAGCCAAATGTTGTGCCTGGGACACTTTGTGTATTAATGATACTTGTTACCTGGAGAGGTTGGAAAAAGATATACGTTTCTTCCCTGTTCCAAAACCAAAATCATACCCTGAAAAGTGTAGGTTTACACTGTGATCTGTAGCCTGTAGTTCGGCTTTAGCTTCTAACTATCTTTGTCTTTTTAACCTGTTGTTGCTGCTGAGTCAGTTTGACATCCTGGATATATCCTTCAAACACAGACTGTAGACCCCTCTGTCTGCTTCTCTCTGGAATTCATTTTTCCAAAAGTATGATAATATCTCTTCAGGGAGTGATGTTAGTTACAGTGTGGGCTCCATGCTTACTGCAACAGCTTGTCGGCTTAGTGAAAGGTCAGTTGTCACTCAGAGTGCCAATGCAAACTTTGGTTTTATAATAACTGCTATGAAAGGAGGGCATGGTAGTTTGAGAGTACAGTCACTCCCCCAAAGCTCCCAGACAGCGGACCACCTATAATAATATCATAAACATCTCGAGTCATACTTTGTTGTGTGGTTGGTGTCATATGTCATGAATGGTCACAGGACTTTTATTATGGGTCCTTGAAAAGCTAAGGAGAAGTTTTGACTTTCTGTCCATGAAAACCCATGGGAACCCTGGGGTATCATCCTAAATTACATTTTAATACAAAAAGGGAATTTTGTACTTAAAAGTTAAAAACATTAAAGATACCCACTTGATTTGTGTAATACCAACTTGCAAAGCCTCATATTAGCTTCAGTTGAACTCTGTTGAAACAATAAATGTATCCCCATGTGAGTATTGTTTTAAGACAGATGTGAAGGGATGTCCTTCAAGGTGAAAGCTGTGGTCCTGCCTGCTCTAGAAACCGAACCCACTGACTGTGGATCTCCCAAAGGATTTCCTCACATAACTCAATCAGGACGTCTTTGAAATACCGGTAAGTACAATATGTTGCCCACTAGATGGCGCCATTCGTCTATTTCTTTTTGGTCAGCTGACTTTTACAAACTAGTGCAGACACATTGGATTTAAATATTTCCTGTTTTCTTTGGCTGACCCTTCACAAATAATCAAAGGTTGTTTCATGGTCAAACTAACACATGCATGGAGAATACAGCATGTGACTTTCATTGGTTTCCATAAGCTAACTAATACATTTTCACTATGAATGCTCCATAAGTTTTACTGCACATTATGCCAGACCTTTATGCTGACAGTCTTTTTCCAGGAAAACATTTCTCAGATCCTTGAACGTGTAAACTGCTGGGCCAGTGTCCCGCCTTTGTTACTGCATTCTTTCACTTTCCATTTCACTCGGCAGCAGCAGAGAGAAAGCTGAAGAGTGGACTGATCCACACAGAGAAACTTTGTAAGAACTCTGAGACTTCTTAGAAACAGCTCCGTTGCCCAGAAGCTGCTGTAAACACTGACATACAGACATGAAAGTTGGCAGCGCGGGTGAAAACAACCCTAACAACATGCCTGGTGAGAAGGAAGATCAAGGGGAAGGTGATTATGAAAATGTACTCTGAATTCTCTGTTCTCTCGGTCTCTCTCTGTTTTCAGCTGCTCATAAAGACAAATGGTTTGAAATGAACTTTATTTGCATTTATTAACATTTTATGGGGAAAACCCATCACAGGAGTTTATAGTCACATGTCTAATGCTTAAGCAAACTGTTTCCTGTAAGTTGAGCAGGCGCAGGCATGTCTAAAAAAGGAGTAGGTGACAACGTGGGGCTAGTTTAGTTAAGTTTCACTTTGCAGCAAAAAAAAGTTCTAGCACTTTGTTTGCTCTTGTTCTTCTGCTTTTCTTTTTTGTGTCTAAAAATGGCTAAGAAAATAACGTCACTTCTGTATGATCACAGTGAGTGTGCAGTTATTGCATTTTAACCCTTTGATATACACGTGGGATGCTCCTCTGTAATTGGGTTAACACTGACCCTTTTTAGAATCCTTGTATTTAAGTTTCACATAGAGTTTTTTGAAAGTTTGTAAAGTTTATGCATAATTTTTAATACGTTTTTAAAGGAAATGAGCAATAAACAAACTACTCATTTCTAGATTTGTGGACTTGAGTCACAAACTTAATACTCAAATCCAAAAAGACCTTCAACTCGATAGAGCTAAACATCAGTGACTCATTACTGAGCTTGAACCTTTTGACTTGAAAATACTTGTTACCTTCCCACAAGCCCAAAGATTTAAAAGTATGCGCCAGGAATCAATTAGTTTCCCTTCATTTCCTGAATCAACTCACATAAAGACTTATCAACCCCAGCAATTTGACACTTATTTCCCTAGACCCACTTATTTCAAACTAATCCGACAGTATCCACTCAAGTTGCAGAGAACAATGAAGAACAAACACTATGTTACTGAGCGCTTGTTGTAAAAACAATAGATACTTTTGCTCACACACAGAAACTACGCAGTGGTCAGTAAAGTGTTGCGGTACACAAAACATGCGAGTTGGAAAGTACAGAGACGTAACAACTTCTAACTTTGACATTTTAAGTTGCACAAAGATTGATAAGCTGAGGCTAATGTTAACACAGTTAGCAAGCTAATGTTTAGCCAGCATCAGCTTAACAGCTAAGAAACTAATCAACAAACTTGTTTTAAGAAATAAATGCAAATTTCAAAAAGCATTCAGGATTTTTTAATTTAATACTGTTATGACATTTGTCGAAGGGCGTGTTTGTTTAGGACTTGAAACTTGACTTCAGTCGACTTGGGACTTTACTTTGGACTTGCAAAATGATGACAGTCTTTGCACTCAGGCCCCAAGTCAAGACTGACAAGTCACAACTCAAGTCTTAAGTCCTAAACTTTGAGTTCCGATTCCTAGTCAAGTCATAACAAGCTCTGCACCAAACATAATGCCATTTTAACATCAGAGTAATAATATATTAAATTAACAGAAATTAAAAATGTTTAGTTTGTCCTCTGAGTTTGAACCAATCCAACGGCATCCACTTAAGTTGCAGAGAACAATGAAGAACTAAGGTTATGTTACGCAGTGCTAGTTGGAAAAAATTATACCACAGATAATTTTGCTTATACAAAAACTATGCAGTGGTCAACAAAGAGTTGCAGTACACAAAACGTGGGAGTTTAAAATTATCATTACAATTGCCAATTAACTTTGACATTTTAAGTTGCACAAAGATTGGTAAGCTGAGGCTAATATTACACAGTTAGCAAGCTAATGTTTAGCTAACATTAGCTTAACTTAACTTAGCTGAGAAAATAATTAAACTTGTGTTAACACATAAATGCAAAATCTAAAAAGCATTCAGGAGTTTTAATTTAATACTGTCATGACATTTGTTGAAGGGCATGTTTGTTTGAGACGCAAAAGTCAGAGTTTAGGACTTTGGACTTGACTTGGGACTTTTCAGTTGGCTTGGGACTTTACTTTGGACTTGCAAAATGACATTCTCGGAACCCTTCGGCTGTATTTGGCGTCTGACTTCCAGCAGACGGCGATACAGCCTCTGGGGGCAGACCCCCGATTTTTTGGCATTCCGGTTTGATTTGGGCGGAGGAGGCGAATTTCCGTTTCCGACATATAAGTAAATATGCTGAACCATTGCGATGGATTCAGAGTTTGCAGTGACGCCAATTATGTTCCGCCTCGTTAGTTCACCGCACGGACCGTTTAACCTGGCAACAACTGCAGCCAGCTCAAATGTGATTGGTCAATATCACGCGGACTACAAACAGCCTACAACCGGAAACCAGGGCTCTTCCGCTCTTCTTCCGGAGGCAAGATCTCCGGGGTTTGCCTACAGACTCTACATTCACTGAATGTAGAGTCTGTATATAGAGACTAGCAAAAGGATGACAGTCTTTGCACTCAGGCCCCAAGTCAAGGCCCAAGTCAAAACTCACCAGTCCCATCTCAAGTCCAAAGTCCTAAATTTTGGGTCTCAAGTCCTAATTAAGTCATAACACGTTCTTGACCAAATATAATGCCATTTTAACATCAGAGTTATAATATATTAATTTCACAGAAATCATGAATAATTTTTAAAATATATATGTAAACATATTTTTGTTAAAGCAAGTTTGTTAAAAAGTTACTTAGCTGTTAAGCTAATGTTAGCTAAGTATTAGCTTGCTAAATATGTTATCATGAGCCTCATTCTTTGTGCAACTCCAAAGCTGGAAGTTGTTGCGCCTCTCTCTGTAATTTTTGACCCACACATTTTGGATACTAAAGTTAATTTTTTGTTGACCACCGCATTGTTTTGTACACAAACCAAATTATCTTTGGTATCATTTTATCCAGCCAGTGCTCAGTAACTTAACTTCTTTATGGTTCTCTGCTGCACCTCACTTTGTTGCTGTTGGATTGGTTCAAACAAAGTTGATCATCATTTCCGGAATTAAGTGTCGACTTCCATTTTAATGCGAGTTGACTGAGGAAAGGAAAGGAAAATAATTGCCTCGTGGCACAGTTTTTAAATATCATACTTTCCAGTCCTTTTGCTTTGGGGTAGGTATCAAGTATTTTCAAGTCCAAGTCCAAGGGTAGTCATTGGTGTCTTTTTTGAGTTTGTCGAGGATAGTCATCATATTTGTGACTTGAATCTGAATTAAGTCCAGTTCATTAACTCATGTCCACACCTCTGGTATTTGCCTCTAAAATCGAGTATGCGTTAAACTAAAGTGTTCACCATCAAACATACAAAATCGAAGAAAATAAGAGAAATGAGAGCAACAGTGATCAAGGCAAGATCAGCATTTACTTGTGTTTAATTGTTTAGTAAGATGTTTCCTATTTGTTGAATTCACAGAGCCCTTGAGGATCATGCTTCTAGGGAAGAGCGGGGTAGGCAAGAGCTCGAGTGGGAACACCATCCTCGGGCGACAGGCGTTCGTCTCAGACATGAGGCTGGAGAGAGTCACTAAATACTGTGAAAAGGAATGTGGGATCGTTAAGGATGTGCCCGTCTCTATCACTGGGACACTGAGCGATGTGCCCGTTGCTGTGATCGACACACCCGGCTTTTTTGAGACAGACCGCAACAAGGAGGTGATTGTGCGAGATATTCTCAAGTGTGTCAAACTCCTGGAACAAGGACCTCATGTCTTTGTGTTAGTGTACCCCATCGGAAGGATGACTCAGGAAGACCAAGATACCAACAAGCTGATCGAAGCAATGTTTGGCCCGAGAGTGTGGGACTACACCATCGTGCTGTTCACCCATGGCGATCGTTTGGAGGGAAAAACCATAAACGATGTGATCACAAAGAGTGAAGTCAACCTCCGCAACTTCATACGCAAATGCACCGGTGGCTTCCATGTCTTCAACAACAAGGACCTGCAGGACCAGGACCAGGTGACGAGCTTCGTGGCAAAGATCCAGACCCTGATGGCCCTGAATGGAGGGGGTCATTACAAAACGGCCCTGTATCCCAAACCGGAGAGGATGATTAGGGAGAAACAGTTGAGCATCTTGGCGGAGAAAAATAAAGAAATCACCGACAGGGAGGAAAAGCTGCCAAATCGTTTCAAGGATGAAGAGCTGGAGATGGAGAAGAAGAAGCTGTGGAGGAGAGAGGAGGACAAAGCAAGAGAGGCCGCAGAGCATTACATCTCCAACAGCTCCTTAATTCGGGAAATCATCTTCATACTGGTAGCAATAGCAGGGATCTGTTTTATTCGTAACACACCGTCTGTGTGTTTTCTGATAGGAGTTGCAGTTGTTATTTTGATTTTTTTCAGGGAGTCTATTCTTAATCTGTCTATTTCAGGAGAAAACACATGGCTTCGTAAGAAAAATCAGTAAGTGTAGTCTGAGATATTGACACATTGTTAAGCCCGGGTCAGACCAAAGATTTGCAATGAGACAAAACTGTTTTACATCGCAGACAGAAGTTGCAGCGGGGTGAACTGACCGGTCTCAGCTCAGCTCAAGCCGGCTGATGGTGTCACCTGTGACTCAGCTTGTTGAGTCACCAGTCGGCTTGTAGTGAAGTCAGCTGGTCAAGTCAACTTGAAAGCAGACGTTCACTTCTTGTGGCATTTTCTGACACCAGCCTTCTGTCCCCGCTGAGCCCAAGTCCATCTCATTTACATCCCTGCAGCTGTTGGCACGTACAGGCTCATGCTGTTTTCGAAAAGCTTTCGGATACGGATGACACGAAGCAGTGCCATTGGAGATAGTGGAGGCCGTGTAGCATAGTTCAAGCAACGTACGACCGCAGGAGACGGCGAAGGCATTAAAAAAATGGCGGAACAAAATATTTAAGGGCCTTGCAGTCCACCATCATAGAAAACACTGCCTCCATAAAAAGGTACATTAGTATGACCTCCTCCATTGTTGCCTCGTTGCAGACGAGTTCCAACTTGTCTTGGCGTGAATCTTTGGTCTGAACTGAGTTTTAAGAATGACTCATCTACATCCGTATTGCTCAAGTCTATAATGGATGTTCAATTGGTGTAATGGATTTTATTCCAAACAATCCGTTTGATAAAAATGTTTTTGTAATTGCAACAGTTTATAATTCGAAAACAGAAGAGCGTGTTTGTTTTTATAGCTTTCTTACTCGCTTTAATCCACTCGCACATGACGCAACTGTGAAAATAGCAAGAAAAATATATTGTGTATCAAGTGATTCAGTGTTTTCTTATCAATAAATGTCATTAATAAAATAAATGAATTTCTCAAGCAGTTAATCTGTGTATGTTATTATTATTTTGTCGTGTGCATGGGGCCTTCACCGTCAGCTGAACCTCATGTGGTGATGAGTGTGTGCTGCTCAGAGTTTCAGTTTCTTTTCCTCTGTTGAGGGGCAGATGAGGTAAGAACTGCTTTTTTTAATTCTGTCAGCAGTTAGTCTGGTGATTCTGAACCAAGGTGAAGTTGTTTATATAGTTTGATGTAGCCTGCTGCAGTTTTATGAAACAAGTATGCATAGAATTGTGTCTCCCTCTCTAAGCAGGTTTTGATCAGATAGTAGGCCTAGAGCATCTGCTTCTTCAAAAACAAATGAGTCATGTACAGCTTGGCATGAATTAGTCACTCTTTCCCAAATTCAAAAACTAGAGTGCTAAAACTCAAATTTGTGATGTCACAGGGTATAAAGTCTGGAGCTGCTCCATAGACAGTGAATGGTGAGAGATGTTCTAGATGACACTGAGAGCAGCCACGGGATACACCTTAGTTTATGGGGACATTATCAGTTTCAGACCTGAAAACCCTACAACAGAATTAGAGCTCACTTGGGTAGAAAAAGAAAACAAACATACTGTGGGTCAATAAAAATCAGTGTTCTATTCATTGTCCAGGGCGCAGCTCCGGACTTTATACCCTATGACATCACAAGTTTGAGACTAACTTACCACAGACATGCAGAGGGCTGCGCCACCTGTCCTACATAGTCGCAAGACACATAGATGTTGTAGTTGTTTAGTGTCTCTTTGTGGTTGTTTTGTATCCTGTTGGTCATTTGACTCTCCTTGTAGATGCTTTGGTTCTTTGTTCTCATTTTCAGTCTCCTTGTTGTCACTGAGTCTCCTTGTAGTCTTTTTGAGTCTCCTTGTAGTCACTGAGTCTCTTTGTAGTCATTTTGAGTCTCCTTATAGTTACTTTGAGTCTCCTTGTAGTTGCTTTGCATTTCTTTGTAGTCACTGAGTCTCTTTGTAGTCATTTTGAGTCTCCTTGTAGTCATTTTGAGTCTCCTTGTAGTCACTGAGTCTCCTTGTAGTCACTGAGTCTCCTTGTAGTCTTTTGGAGTCTCCTTGTAGTCACTGAGTCTCCTTGTAGTCTTTTTGAGTCTCTTTGTAGTCACTGAGTCTCCTTGTAGTCTTTTTGAGTCTCTTTGTAGTCACTGAGTCTCTTTGAGGTCATTTTGTGTCCCTTCATAGCTGATTAAGTCTCTTTGTGGTCATTTTGAGTTCTCATTTGTCCACTCTACTGCATGCATTGATGTAAAGAAACCTCTTGAAAATGTAGTTATATTGACGTCCTCTGGGATGATTTTGTATTTAACTGGCTGACGGCTGATTTACATTTATTAGTATAGATATCTTGGTAAAAATGTTCTTAGCTCTCATGCATTAACCCAAAAACTAAACTTAAATGTGAATCTTTACAATGTAATTTTTTTCATGATAAAATGAATTTCCTCTTGTAATGAAATCTGTGTTCTTTGTTAGGCTTCTGCTGATGTGTGCAGATTGAAACAGAAGTTTTATTTGTGCACGTGAACAGAAAACTCAGTCATCAGTCTGACATTTAGCCTTTTAGTTAGAAGGACACCATATTTATATTTGTAAGAAGACTCCAACAGTATTTGTAATCAGCCACGTTTGCATTCACCAGTCAAAAATAGAACACATCCTTATTTTGTACATTTGTATTTACACTTCAGTCACAGCAGTGAGTGTGAAACATTTGTTACAACCACAGCCACTATTCTGTCATGTCTTCCTCCTCTTCATCATCATCTTCATCAAAATATTTATCCTCTGCATCTCTGCTGACTATGTCCAAGTTGTCGTAGTCTGGATTCTCGTCCACCTCACTGTAATAGACACACAAACAAACACAAGGTAATGACGAAGATTTAGACCCAGACTATGAACTGCCTGCTGACCTGCTAGCCAAGGCTCAGTGAGTGAGAGAAATGTTTGACGAAGAGGAGGAGGATTTCAGTGTGTCTGCCGGTTTCCAAGATGACTGGAAAATGGGCAATTATCATCCACTCCGAAAGAGCCAGGTTTTAGGAGGATGTTTTCAAACAATGCTTAGGTTTTAGAGTTGTTTGTGGTCTGTTACACCACACACTGTTTAATGTCTGTGTAACAAAAATGCAGCCTTTATATTGTATGAATGCCAACTGAGTGGCAGTGTGACTGACCTGTAGTTGAAATCCTTGTCTTTGCCATCTAGGAAGCGCTGATGCATCTGACTGATGAACTCTTCCTTGAGCAAAGCCTTCTCCTCTGCAGTGGGCTCCCATTCTTTCTGCTGGACAGTGTTATCTACAGCAGGAACAAGGAGACAGATCATAAAGTAATGGACATTTACTCCATGACGTCACCTGTTAGTTTGAGGACTCAGGTTTTTTAAGCCTCGAGTTTGACCTTTTGATCGTCACCATCTTGGATCTCTGGAGCCAGAAGTAATTTTTCGGCCCGACAAAGTGGAGTTGTGGGGGAAATGGGGGTCTGTGTCGTTTGACTCCCTTTTGGAGCCAGGCTCAGGTGGCCATTTGAGGAACTGCAGTTTTTGACACTCCCACATTGGATTAATATCAGTCCCAGAGGTTGCTGCTTCAGAGAGACACAAAATGACTAATGGAGACAGAGAAAAAAGGAGAATCCATCCGTCCATTTTCATCCACTTATCTGGGGCCGGGTCGGGGGGGCAGCAGGCCAAGCAAAGCACCCCAGACGTCCCTCTCCCCAGCAATGCTTCCCAGCTCCTCCTGGGGGACCCCAAGGCGTTCCCAGGCCAGACGAGATATGTAATCCCTCCAGTGTGTTCTGGGTCTGCCCCTGGGCCTCCTACCAGTGGGAACCTGATCAGATGCCCAAACCACCTCAACTGACCCCTTTTGAACTACTCTGAGCTCCAGACACCCAACGGAGGAAACTTATTTCTTCTGCTTGTATCTGTATCTCATTCTTTCGGTCACTACCCAGAGCTCATGACCATAGGTGAGGGTTGGGACGTAGATGGACCAGTAAATCGAAAGCTTTGCTTTCTGGCTCAGCTCCCTCTTCACCACGACAGTTTGGCGCAGCGCCCTCATCACCGCAGAAGCCTCGCCAAACCGCCGATCCATCTCACGCTCCATTCTACCCTCACTTGTGAACAAGACCCTGAGATACTTGAACTCCTTCACTTGAGGCAGTAACTCTCACCCAACCCAGAGGGGGCAATCCACTGAGAATCCAAGGAGAATTCAAGCTGCAAGGGCAGAGAAACAACATTTTATAACTTCAGCCTCTCTCACCTTCGTCGTCATCCTCCTCCTCCTCCAGTGCTCCCTCCTCTCTCTCCTGCTCCTCCTGTAGCCGGTTCTGGATGAGACGCTCCTGGTAGGAGTTGAGGAGGAGGTGGGCGAGCCCTCCTGTGCCTCTCGCCGGTGCCCCTGGTCCCCCCTGTGCATCGTCCAGCATGGCCTCCTGGGAGCGCTCAAACACCTGAAACATTCGTCATTCAGAACTTATTAAAATACTGCCTCAACTGAACTGTTGATTTTGAAATAATCCTGCATCATGCTCTCACCTCCTCATCAGTCAGGTACTGGCCAATATATTGTTCATACAGCAGTGGCTCCCTCATCCTCATCTGCTCCTCACTGAAATACTCACCCTCTAGAGGAGGAGTTACGGCAGAGGGACAAAAGGGATGACACAGTGTGAGGGAAAGAAGTACTTCGCCAGGCGTACAGTACATACAATACAACACTGCCAGTGATTAGTGTAGGGATTGCTGGGGCGGCAGTGAAGTAAAGTAACCAAAACTATCTGCACAATACAAGTGGCAAGTGGAAAATATGTTATGTAAACTGACCTTTTAAAAAGAGAGTGGACACTTTTAGCCCATTCTAACGCAGCTACAGTAAAATTAATTTATCAATATCAATATTTTTTTTGTTTCAGCTGACAAAACAAATCCCCTACCCCTCTGCAGGGCTCTGAGGGCAGCATAGCGGTGGTTTCGAACCCTCGTCCTGTTGGTGCATCCTGCTGCTCGTCTCTGTATCACCTTGCTGTAGTGAGCAGCTCGTGGATCTGAGCTGACGTGGGCAAACGCTGGCAGGTCCTGGGGCTTGAGGCAGGCCTGGCAATGGGGGGAGAGCAGATAACACAACGACAGGAAAAGGTTAGCACAAAAACTATGTTGTCAGTTTGCTAGACACTTTTGCCAAATGATGACTGTGCTGTGCCTCATGATGCATTTTTTAAATTTGTGATATCAGGCTATATAAATAATGTTAACTTTTTAATCATTTATATCAAGCAATTTTAAGTAAAACACAAGAAACATGGACAGACTGATAATATCCTCTTATAAAACTGGTAAAGTCAAACCAGTAACTGTCACTACAGCTCTCTCCACCTGCACGTTAAAGATTAACTATGCAGGATATTCTTAAAAAACATTGTATAATCTCATAAAAGTAATCCCTGTTAATCATCACCCACGAGAAGTGTGTGTCAGTGTATTCATCTGCAGAGATCCTGCCCTCTGCTTGTATTTTCTTACCAGTATTTTCCTCTTATTTGCTGTGTTTGGGATGTTCATAAGCAAACAACTTAAGGAGCTGCGCCTTGTCAAAATAAATCCAAACCTAAATGTCTGGACCATGTGTGACTTTAATTTGAAAGGACAGACACAGGAAGTGTCCACGCTCAGCAGTCAGACAGGAGTCAGGTTAATTTCCAGGGCTGGTACCTGCGGTTATTCCACAGGCTAGTTAATAACATGTCGGGCAGGAAATCCAAAGTGTGGGATCATTTTGAGAAGGTGAAGGACGAACCCAAGGTGATATGTAAACTCATCTTCATTGGTCGACTACAAACATGACGTATCATCTGAAACATGGAAGTAGCTACATGCCCATTAGCCCACAGCGTCATTAACAGGCGGCTCGCTCAGTGTGTGACGTGCACTTGGAGATAAAATATAGGCCTATATTAATGAAGGTTCATTAGTACGGTTTGTATTTCTCTGTAATGTAGCACAGTGTTAACAATGTTACTGATACTTAAGCAATATCACACTCGAGCTCGTGATGTTGTACTGTGATATCGTCACGGCTGTGATTCGGTCATAGGCACGAGGCCGCAGGCACAGCCGTGACGATATACGAGTATAACATCACAAGCTCGAGTGTGATATTGCTTTTATACAACAGTTCAACAGTTAAATAAGCAAGGCTGATTAAGAAATGTTGAAAAATGAGGACAAAATAGATAATTTAAGCATTTTATTTGTCTTCTGCCAACAAAAATAGTTCCCTCAGGACTCCGCTGTCACTGTTGCTATGTAACGCAGTCATGTTGCACCAGGAACTTACTCTTTATACACATTTATCTGCACGTTTCCATTAATTGTGCAGCCGGTGAAATAAGTCTCTGGTGACTGCATGGCGGACTGTCGCTTCACAGGCACAGCCGACTCTGCCTTCTGATCTGACAGTATGTTGCTTTTCTCCAAGTCATTGAGCTCCGCTGATGAAACACTGACAAACCTGTCTGTGTGCTCAGATGGATTCAGCTTCTCCTCTCCCTCATCTTCCTCTGATGACCATTCATAGTTCAATTCAAAACTTATTTTAGGAAATAAATCCATATTTTTGGCTGTTTGACAGTGGATGAATTAATTAGCCTACAACGCAACTGCTGACCTAACTGACACTAACCGTCAGTTTTGATTTGATTGTTGATTGCAATCAGTTGTGAGGCGGAGTGATACATACACAGTGAAATATCTGTGATGTTGTACTCCAATATCTTCACGGTTTTACTGTCTCTTGACCAATCAGATTGCAGGGCCGGAACTAACTGTTGTATAATATTCTTTCTCACACCTTCAACTCTATATCATTTAATCATTACATTAATATCCTCAGAAGATGATCACTAACATTAGGTAGGGAAAAAGCACATATATCGATAACTCTATTGGTTATTTGTCAAATAAGTTGTTACATATCGGCATAACATATATCGGCAGAAAGTCTAATATCGTGCTACCAGCCTATATAAAGTCCCCTTTCACACACACACACACACATTCACATTTGTTGAGCCGTGCACACGTACATGGTACCTCTCCAGGAACACCAGGGGTCTGCTCCTGTACTGCTGCAGCAGCTCCTCTCTGCGCTCCTTCAGGCTCAGCTCAGCCTCTCCTTGCTGCTGGCTCTTCACCAGGCTCCCACTCTTGGCTACGGCCTCTATCATGTCATTTACACACGTGGACTCAGCGTGGCTTGCGTGCTGTGTGATAAGCATACACACAGTCATGATATTGTGTGTAGATGTGTGCATTATAAGCATTGAAACAGAGCTGATGCTGTCAGTCTCACCTGGGTGTGCTCCCGTGGCTGCTGGGTGGCTGTGGGGTAGATTAAATCACATCTCTCGGACCGTGTCACCGGGTCTTCTTCCGGTAACTCACTCTTGCCTTTAGTCTCACTCAGGCACGGTTGTGTTTTAACCGCTGGGTCGATTTCACCCCACATAACTAACTGTTAACTAGCAACGTGTTTCCAGTGGCTCTTAATGAAGCTACAGTGAACTAGCACAAGCTAGCTAACGTTCATGTACGTCGTCAGATTAAATTTAGCTTGATATTAGAGAACTGAATATGTTGTCATGGACACCGAAAATGTCTGGTAAGTTTTCCCGATTTGGTGTGAACATTCCCATATGGAAAAAGTAATTAATAATAGGTTAATTACACATATTTGTTTCACTTGTGTAGCATTAGCTGGGTTTTGCCGCCATGTTGGTCCGTCACAATTACTGGCCCCTCCTCTGTTGTGACCGAAAGAATGGTTCCGCTGTTGATCTTGTCACCCTCTGGTGGAAGCTTTGTGACCATAGAGAGAAGTGGAGTATTATACAGATGTACATTTAAATATTTAATAATTAAAAAAAGAAAAACATGGAGATATATTGTAAATGTGTAGTCATAAAACAGATCTGCAAGTATACAAAGCAAAGTCCACAGATATGATATAAGTCCACCAAAGACAGCGTATAATAGAGGGAATCGCCTTGTTGTTTACAAATACTTCCGGGTAGAAAACCAGCAGAGTTTAGCTATATATATATATATATATATGTGTGTATATATATCTCACATTTTTCACGTCACTATATCACTGTGTAGACTAATGTGCTGTTTGTAAAGTCTATAAATACAATGTTTGAACAAACATTACTATTTCTGTGTGCACGTTTTGTAATTAATAACATGGTTATCGTAGATTAGCTGAGCTAACTGTTAGCTGTTAGCCGTTAGCGGTGTCTGTAATAACCTAATAACTCAGTAACTCAATAAACGGTCCGTGAAAAAAATATTTTTTCCAGCAGATATCTTAGTTACAACATGATTGAGCTAGCAAAGCAGTTTTGTGTTGCTATGTGTGGTATTTATTCAGTTTTGGGAAATCATGATGTCTAGAAAGCATCAGTGGCTGCAGCTGACAGGGACAGCTAACAGCAGCAGCAAAGCTAACATCAGGACGACATCTGTTAAAAGCCTCCCGTTGTCGGATACAACATGAAACTACTCCAGTTAGCTCAATCATGTTGTAACTAAGACATCCGCTGGAAAAAAATTTTTTTTCACGTGACGTATTGAGCCACTGAGTTATTACAGACACCGCTAACGGCTAACAGCTAACAGTTAGCCAGCTAATCTACGATAACCATGTTATTAATTACAAAATATGCACACAGAAATAGTAATCTTTGTTCAATCTTTGTGTTTATAGACTTTACAAACATCAGATCAGTCTAAATGGTGATAGTGACATGAAAAATGTGATATATATATAGCTAAACTCTGCTGGTTTTCTATTTGTAAACAAGGCGATTCCCTCTATAGCAGGGTGTAAGATGCAGGCAGGGACAACATACATGGTATGGGACGCCACGCCATGACCAAGTGGCTGGCGTAGTGTGTAGGAACATGTGCACTGAGTGTGGGCTGGAAGTCCCAAGGTCACAATGGAAGACTGACTGGCAACCACACATCGTGCTGATCAACAAACAACAGAAGAGTGCAGTGGTGACAGATTATTAGAGGAAGGTGATTTTATATTTTATCATTTCTTCCTATTATTATTACTATTGGCCTAAGTAGTATAACCCCACACTTCAATGCCACTGCTAAAGTATGTACAACACTGATTGCAAAGTAGAATGCGATGATTTGCAAATCCCTTTTGACCCCTATTTAATTAAACACAGTACAAACACAAGATATTCAAAGTTCCAACTGATAAACTTGCTGTTTGACAGTATACTCACTCTGAATCTGATGGCTGCAGCACATTTCAAAACAGCTGGGACATGTTTACAAGTGTGTTACATCAGCTTTTCTTTTAACAACACTGACGTTTGGGAGCTGAGGACACTAACTGTTGAAGTTTTGAGAGTGAAATTTCTTTCTCAAAATTCACAAGCGGCCCCCAAAATCTTCAAGATTTGAAGGCTGTGTGTGTAAGAATGGGCCAAAACCCCATCTGAACACTAAGACACATGAATTTCTTCATATAGGAAGAGTCTTGAAGCTGGCATTGCAAACAAAGGCTCCTCCAAGTATTGAATAAATTTCAGTTACTGTGTTCAACACTTTTCCTGTGTCATTCTACTTTATTGTACATACTTTTAATGGACTGAAATGTTAGGATTGCTTCATCATTATAATTGTATTGAGCTAACTGAGTTAACCTCTTTGTTTCTCTACTGACCACCTACCTTTCAGGCTCCTATTTAGAATGACTATATATTTTGTGTCTGTTTTACATTTCTATTTATGACTTTTATGATTTAGAAGATGCTTAAAAATTAACATAGCTTTCACTGATAACCTGTGAAGAAGTCAAGCAGTGTAATATTTTTTAAAAGTGTCAAATCTTTTTTTGACGATAGAAAAAAAACAACGTACAAACAAAGAAGTCATTAATACAGACAAAACAACATAAGAGCCAGAGTAAATCTTTAAATTAAAACATTAAACAAACAGCACAAAGAACTGTTTTTTGCAAGTTTGTTATTTGATTTAATTTAATTTATTTTTTTTTTAAATTTAATTTAATTTAATTTTTATTTTATTTTATTTCATTTTATTTTATTTTATTTTATTTTATTTTAATTAAAATGGTCCCAATGTACTGTTTAGTTTCATTTTCAAGTACTAAAAAAATAAAGGTTTGGAATGGCTAAATTTGGATTTCTGAATATAATATGTTCCTGAAAAGATCATCAAATTGGTTACATAAAGGCCTAATTGTTTATTATTATTATTATTATTATTATTATTATTATTATTATTATTGCTAGGGTAGATACTAAACAGGAATTTTCCCAGTAAAGAGAAACTTCACAGTCAGTGTCATCAGCAATAAACCGGAATATATCTTTTCTAAATGTGTTGGTGTTGTTGGGACATTACCAGAACAGGTGCAGGATTGTTTATGGACACATAGTGTCACTTAAAACTTTACAAAATTGCGGTTGTATTTATTTTATTTTAGTTATCTCTTAAAACTCCATGGTATGAATATCACTCAACCAAACAATGCTAAATATGTTTCCAAGTAAACAAACTAAAGTTAGTAAAGGTGAATCCTGTTTTATCAGGACAGGTGAGTGTTCCCTGAACGTCTCACTCTCGAGCCGAGCAGCGCGCGGCAGCAGAGAGGTGCCACTCCCACTGGAATAAAACACACAAACACTTCATATCGTGTGTCCACGGCTCTGTCATCATGGCAGCGTTCAGAGGACAAACAGCTGGCAGATGAGACTGGCTGTGTGGTGGGTCGGTTCCGCGTTAACGGGACTTCGGGACAGTCTGTGAAGATGCTGACGTCGTTTCGTAAGCATTATTCTAAAACCTTTTCTCCTGGTGTGGTCAACAATAAGAGCTGTATGTTGAAATTATAATTTCTCCCCCTGGCTGACTTCACAATGTTTGTATCGCACAAACTTGTCAGCTTCTCCAAAAACTCTGCTCGTCTCCTGGTTGGACCCGACAGTAACATGGACACCTGACAGGACCACACAGAAAACCAAGGTACGTATTTACAACAGAGCTGACCGCACTGCATGCTGGTCACTGTTAAACTACTGTTACACTCACTGGCCACTTTATTAGGTACACCTTGCTTGTACCAGGTTGGACCCCCTTCTTAATTCTTGGTGTCACAGATTCAACAAGGTGCTGGAAACATTCCTCAGAGACTACATGACTAAATCCACTGAGTTGCTGATTAGCTATTTGCCTTGATGAGCAGTTGAACAGGTGTACCTAATAAAGTGGTGGGTGAGTGTATGCAGCTTCTTTGCAGCACATGAGTCTGGACAGACATGGATGTAAACTCTAACTGGTTTGCAGAGGTGTGAATGCGCGAGGCGGTCATTCTAGTTTTTAAATACTCCACCTGTTTCCACAGAGACTTGTTTTCATTAGTCTCCAGTCTGGCAGAGAGCTTCTTAACCTTTTCCTCCTGACAGGCTGCTGCTCTGCACATTTCGGAGGTGAGCTTTCAGAAACTCCACCTCAGTAGAGTGTTGTTTCTTTCTTCGTCGGAGTCCAGGGCTGTTTAAAATATAATGTAGATTCAGGCTCAGGATTGTCAGCAGACATATTAGATGTGACGTACCTGCATTGAGCTGCACCATGTGTTTACAGAGATTAAACAACTGCATCTATTTGTCATGTCATCCATCCTAATTCCTCTCACTTTGTTTTTAGTGTAAGTGGATCCAGTGAGATGGAAACACCCGGGTGCTGGTTTAACAGGAAATAAAGAGCAGGTATGTACATCAGCAGCTGAGAGACTTTCTGTCTTCTTTATTAATCTGACAGAGGCGGCTGTGTCGGCAGCAGTTATGAATTTTAACCAGCTTAAATCATCAGCTGGATTTCCACTTTACTCCACTCAGCAGTAATTGAGAGATGTAGTAAATGTGTGAGGCTGTTATGGTTTGTATCTGCTTTGCTGCAGACAGTCAGGTCAGGTTCAAGTTCACTTAATGACGACTGTTTGAATAGCCTGCACTCAATACATTATTTACATTCCAACACAAACACCTCTGGATATTTTGGAGCTAAATCAAGCCAGTGTCGCCCTGTGTCCTTCTGCTTGTCATCTCTGGAGATTAACCTGACTCATACATGTGCATATTTAGGACACTTTTACAGGCGTCTTGTTTTAAAATGAATCAGCTGGAGACGGAGGTTTGAACCAACATGAGAAATAGTGATGCTGCCGTGCTCTGTCTCAGTTTAGGTTATCATTGTTTTGGCTGTTTAAGAGTTAACAGATGAAGGCTGCACAGGACAGCTGCCATGTGCACAGCAGAGTAAATGTTAGGCCGTACTTTATTTGACAAAGACATGTGATCGTTTTGCTTTTACTAGATAAATAGAGGTTCAGGTGGCTGATTAGTAAACACTGGAGCTGCATAAACACAGCTACATTATGGTGAACACAGAAGACTGCGAGTCGCACAGTGTAGTACTCTAAACCGTCACTGCAGTATACATAGTATTTTTGTATGCCATGATCAATGTTAGTATCTATGCAGTGACTAACTCAGACATTATCAGCAAATCATAGTGGGGTGCAGACACACAACTGTTATTACTGTTTTAGACTGACACAGTTGTCATTTTCACAGCTAGCACCCACATTGTGTAAATAGAGCTCGTAAGTTGGGTGTTTCCGTTTCCAGTACATGGGACCTTAGACATCGATTTCTCATAATGTGTTTCAATGGCTAGATGAAAATTATTTTCTGGTCCCGTTTGAATTGTGCCACGAATTTCACATATGTTGTTTGTGAATTTTTAATATATTTTTTCGTGCAAAGAAGGCTACAATTTAGTACGGATGCACCGAATATTCGGCCGAATATTGCAAAAAAACACACATTCGGTATTCGGTGGAATAAGTTAAAAGCAAGGCCGAATAATAGCGGCGTGTTTTGATAACGCAATCAAACAGCGTGCCGTGACGGGCGGAGTAAAATGTCAGCAGTGTGGTGATCCGTCCGTCACGGCACTCGCATTTGCGACTAAAAATAGTTTTGAGCGAGCAAAATAGGCTTAAATCATTCAGCACGCTGTGCGAGCAGCCTACAGATTTCAACCAGCAGCAGAAACGAAAGGCGAATCCCACCGATTGTGGGTTGAACGGGGGTCACAGACACAGACAGTAATGTATTCCTGTCAAATACGGCGGCCATCGGCTTACCAGCGACGGAGAAGTCGGCTCCAATAATATCCTCTTCTTGGTGTCATGACTGCCCAGAAGTACCTGAACAGCCGAGCCGTGGCAGCACACAGGTATGTGACGTGTCAGAGGAGAAACGAGCCGTTCACATTTCCACAAACCTCACCACACTTTAGGGACTGTTCTTTACTTATGAAGGGGAGGAGGGTGGCTGGTTGATTCTTATTTCATTTATTTATTTTATTTTGATCCCCCCTAAGTTCATCACTTATTGATGCTGTTTTTGAAGTATGAATAAGTCAATAAGTAATTTATTCCATTGAAATATCATTGATGTATTATAGAAAAGTGATTTATCTTTTTATAAATGACAAAAGGCACATCTGCCTCATTTTTGCTGTGGTATCCTGATACTACTCAGAACCATGATATTTTCATTGGTATCGTACTGTGGGATCCAATTTTGGTACCGTGACAACTCTAATGTGGAGGGGGTTCATCTGCAAAAACTAATGAAAAACTAAACAACAATATTTGGTACTCGGTATTCGGCCAAGCGTTTAATAATATTCGACTTCGGCTTTGGCCACAAATTTTCATTTCGGTGCATCCCTACAATTTAGCGGGAAGAAGTTTGATACTGTTAGGTTTTGTGTGAGAGCGCTTTGTGGACTACAGCTCTTCGCTGCTCTCGACGCGTATGATATACGTCACCACCATGGCTGTGTCTCTGGTACACTTCACCGCCTTCTTCCAAGGAGAGGACAAAAGCCTTAAGCGTGGCGAAAACCACTACAAGTCTGGACATGTGGAAAGTTTCAGCTACGCCAGCATGTTGATCTGATGGCTCTGTAGATCGTGGCAGAAGACGCAGCAGCAGCACTGTGAGTTGACAAGTGAAGGGAAAGTATAGGCGACATGTAGTCTTTCTCATTACGTTGTTTCCACAGCCTTTAACTGAAGAATCATACAATAAACTGTCAAACTCCTAACATGAAAAAATATTATTTAGACCCACACAAAACATTTGTGTAATCCAAGGCATTTAATGACTGGGACCAGAAAATAATAATCGGTGACTATTTTAGTAGTCGACTAATCGCTTTGAGTCATAGAAAAGTACTGTAAAAATACCCCAAAATACTCTTATTGCAGATTCTTACGTTCAAATATTGGCAGCTTGACACACTCTCCCATGACGATGAACTAAAACCCTTTGGCGTGAGTACGAAACAAGACATTAGATGGCATAACTTTTGGGGTTTGGGAGAGACAGACCGACATTTTTCAACATTTTAACACAGTTTTCGATAAAACGATTAGTCGACTAATCGAAGAAATAATTGACAGAATAGTCGACAATGAAAATAATCATTAGTTGCAGCCCTAGTACGCAGTATGTGTACCGAGCAGGACGTTGCACATTTATCAGCCACCATACATGTCAACCCCAATATGGCTGCCTTTGGACTATAATACCCTGGACAATTTTTCCATCCAGCTCTAGCTAAGTCTGAAGTTACCTCTGAATTCTCAAAGTGAAGCGTCAAAATATTAAAAGTAAAATGGGTTTGCATAAAAATACTGCATATCTTGGAAAGCTATTAGGTCTGTTATTCAGTTAGGCTCAGTGTTTCCCTTAAAGGGACAGTGCACCCAAAAATGAAAATTCAGCCATTATCTACTCACCCATATGCCGATGGAGGCTCAGGTGAAGTTTTAGAGTCCTCACATCCCTTGCGGAGATCGGCGGGGGGAGCGGCTAGCTCACCTAATGGCTGACGGCGCCCCAGACTAACGTCCAAGAACACAAAATTGAATCCACAAAGTATCTCCAATTTGCTCATCCTTAGTGATCCAAGTGTGCTGCAGCCCCGACATAAAAAGTTGTTTGGAAAAACGTCATATGAACTCTGTTTTTAGCCTGTAGCTCTGACTGTTTCTCTGTGCTCCGCGCTCATGTGTGCCAGCAAAAGCATGAGCTTTGCTCACCTGTGTTAACATCACGTGACACGTGCATTGCAGGGAGAGACAACAGTAACCACAGTAGCTAAAAGATAATTTGCACTACGGTCTTTTAGCAAAGGACAGCCCAACATGTCTGAAGACTTTGACATTGAGGAGGAACAGCATTTCTTTGTTGAGCCGTATTTCTTTGAGCCCGAGTATACGGACGTGGAACTCAGGCTACTGGACGAAGCAGCCGCCGCAGCTCATGAGCCTAACCCTCAGCCAGCCGCAGAATACCGGAGTCGAGCACTGGAAACCTGGTGGTGTAGTTGTTTCAAATGCAAAGCAATGCCAACGGATGAGGAAAGTCTTTGCTGCTCAGACTGGGAATTGGCGATGCCTGCACTTGAGAATCTGGACATCAGTACTGACGAGACTGCTGCTCTTCAGAGACTGTGCATCACCCATCACCCTGAGTTTCCAGCACTACTGACCCGTGGTGTTCTGGAGACATTTTTTTACTTCCCTTTGGCTTTCATAGAAGTAAGTCATTCATTTCTACCGTAGTTCAGGCAGACAATGGCATTCGCTGGTCTCACGTGAGCGCGGAGCACAGAGAAGCAGTCAGAGCTACAGGCTACAATGAGGCTAAAAACAGAGTTCAAATGACGTTTTTCCAAACAACTTTTTATGTCGGGGCTGCAGCACACTTGGATCACTACGGATGAGCAGTATGGAGATACTTTGTGGATTCAATTTTGTGTTCTTGGATGTTAGTCTGGGGCGCCGTCAGCCATTAGGTGTGCTAGCCGCTCCCCCCGCCGATCTCCGCAAGTGATGTGAGGACTCTAAATCTTCACCTGAGCCTCCATCGGCATATGGGTGAGTAGATAATGGCTGAATTTTCATTTTTGGGTGCACTATCCCTTTAAGTTCAAATGTGTTGGCCTGGCCACTCGTCTCACTTTAACTTTCAAAGCTGGTTCACCTGCTTCTCCTGTTACTTCCTTGGTTTAAAACAGTGGTGTTGAACATCAGGAGCAAAATTCACAAAGCTGCGTTTTCAAACACAGTCTGCTGCACACATAGGACACTATAGAGCACCACTGTGGCTTCCAGCAAACTTCACAGGGCCGAACTCCATTTTGTTTTGGCCAAATATCCTAATTGTCTCGCTCAGCAGCAAACTCAAAAACTCAGAATCTGTTAGCTGATAACGTTATCCTCACGTCACCTGTTCAACTGAGTTTAACACTTTACATCACACACTGTTCTGCTGTTATTACAGACGTGTGAACCAACCACAGACACTTGCCTCATTTATGAACTCACAGCAGCCTGGAATACATATTCGGTGTTATTTTTGGCATTAAAAATATTTTTATTGGCCTGGCAGGGGTTGCTGTTGGCCTGGAGGCTCACTGGGGCCCGTATGCAAATATAGGGGGAACACTGAGGTTATTATTTTAGATACTGTCTAAATGTTGTTCAGTAAATTAGAGCTGACTCGGTGTAGCTCAGGCCTCTTACACTTCTTTTGTGTGTGTGTGTTTGGTCAGAGTAGCCAGAGGCTGATTATGTAATGTGTTGTCATGTTCTTTTTTTACACGCCCCACCTTTCCAGCAACTCTCCCACTGTATGGTGAGTTGCCATAACAACCCAAGTGGCCGAGCCATTGTCAGCGCTGGGTGTCTGTTACCTCTGTGATGTCTTCACTGTTAACTACAGGCTCATGTAACTACAAATGAGTCTCTCAGATGGAGAGAGAGAGTTGGAGAGACAGATAGAAGGTGGTGTGTGTGACAGGTGCAGAACAGCGGCGTATGGAGGGACGGATACAGAGAGAGCGCACGTTTAGATTAGTATTAGTTTAGTATTTGTGGGTGTTTGTGGTGCGTGTGTCTCTGAAACTCACCATTCCAAGTGTGTGTTCATGTGCTTCTTCGCTTCCTAGGCCTGCCTGCGAGCCCCACTCTGAATCCCTGGTAACCATGGAGACCAAGTTTGGAGAAAGACCAAATGCAGGTGCCTTCATCCTCAGCCCTCAGAGTGAATCTGCAGCCAATGAGCTTCAAGAGCTCTCCCTGCAGCCTGCCCCCAACCTGCTGCCAGTCAGAGACAGGAACGGTGGTAAGTGGAGGTTTTACATTCACAGTGAAACCGCTGTTACTCATGCAAGGACATGTGTGGTTAAAGTGGCCAAAACTCAGGGATATACTCGGATGCATGCTCCCATTTGATTCCATGTGTCTGTTGAACATGACTGGAGGCTGTTTTCTCTGCATTTACCGGATACAAAGAAGCAGAGAGGGAGAGAGGGTGTTTGGCTGCTGTGGTTTTTCCAGCGTGTGTAGAGCTGCGAGCTGCTGCTTGAGTTTACATTTCAGACATACTACGTCTCCCGTCCCATTACCTCATTATAAACAGCAAGTGTTCTCTTCCAAACGCACACACACATACAGACATACACATACAGACTTTCAAACTAGTGAAAAGTACTGTATACATAGCTTATTATAGTGAAGTGCTCCTCTTAAAATGACAGTTAAACACCAAAGTTGACGTTAAACTTGACCCAAGCACTAAGACTTGTGTGTCTGCAAGACAAGTATAAATACACCGCTCATTAGAGTGACTTTTTATGTGAGCTTCAGCTGTCTCAGGCAGGCTGTGGAGAACAGTCTTGATTTTGAAACTAGGTTCAGATGTAAAGACTAAGGCCCATTTACATCCGTTATTAAAGGTACCATGGAGTTTTTTGCCACTAGGAACACTATAAAAAAATACTCCACAAGGACGCACATGCATGGACAGGTGTTCATATTCAAATTCTTTTTTGCAAGCTGTAGCTACTACATGCAGCTTTTGCTGGACTTGCTTAATTCAGTTCAGTTCAATTAAACTTTATTTATCCCAAATGAAATTCTTGTGCCAGAGAATGCTTCAAATTCACTGCCATCACACAGGACCCCACCCCCTGCACCCATCCTTCCAACTACTACCATCAGGTCGCCGCTAGTCTGAGTGGGCGGAAGTTTGCTGCATAGATCAGCCTCTCATTGGGCGGAACGAGCCACCCACTGAAGTCCCGCCCTACCACCTCCGGTTGCAGTTTTCAACACGTCCTTTACTAACTTTTGCGGTGTTTGATCTTGCGGGGATGTAGCCATTCTTCTGCCGTGGTTTGCGTCCTGTAGGTGATATTTTTGTGGGCGTGTTACACCAAAACCTGTTTCCCCCCGGCAATATTTTTGCAAGCGCACCGTTGCTGTGGCACCGCCCAGAACGATTGTGATTGGTTGAAAGAAATACAAGCAGCCGGGGTGTTTTTTTCTCCAATCTTAGGGCCCTATTTAGATGGTCTAAAGCGCAAAGCGCCAGGCGTGCGGTGCATGGGTGTGTCCCAGTCACTTGCTACTTAGACAGCGCGTTTTCAGACTGTGCGCCATGGTGGAGAGTCTAAAAGGGTTGGACTTACTCTGTGAATTAGTCATGGGTGTGTTTTGGGCGTATCATTCAATAAGCCAATCAGAGTGTCACCTCTCATTCCCTTTAACAGAGGCGCGATTGGAGCGCGCGGCGGAGAGCTAGTTAGATGGCGGACCTACCAACTGGAAAGAGTGAACGTTTTACAGCTGAGGAGACGATAACTGTATCTCTATATTGACTGTCCCGTCACATCTGATGTCAGATCAAAGGGGATTGGCACCGTTTGGTACACGTAATGGAAACCCAACCTGATTTGATTAACACAGCTGCAATCCAATAAGTTCACATCCCTCTCAGCCAACCACAAACAGCCACAGCATCAGATAGGGAGTATATATTCAGCATCTGTCATCTTAGAAAAGTCAAAAGAAAAGAAACAGAGTGAGACTGCGAGAGAGAAAGAGAGAGCGCGCGTGCACGAGAGAAACGCTGTCAACAAATTGTAAGTTATTGAATTTATTTTATTTTTAACCTGGAGGTTAGAAAGCCCAGCTCCCTCTCCAGCATCCTGAACCCCCCCGCCTGAAAGTGCAGGAAGGGCTGGTCCCGTGGCTGCACCCGGGCCCGTCTGGTCTGGCGCGCGGGCTGCGGAGCTTCCCCCGGTTCCCCCAGCTGTGCGGCCGCTGTGCATCCTCCTCCTCCTCCTCCTCTTCCTCCTCCTGACAAGATGATCTTCAGTTTTACGTTCTAAAAGCTTTTTTTAAAAATATACATTTGTACTTGTAGGGTTATAAGTTTACGTTTTTAGTTCACAGAAGCTGGTTATTGTTGTGTTTATGTCAAAATAATGTTTATCAAACGTTTTCACATCTTTGATTTTGTGATTTACATGCCAAAATGATCACAACTCATTTGGGAAAGACGAGTTCATTTTACAGGCTTTGCATCATCAGCCGTGGAGGTCTGCTCGCAGTTCTGTATATTCGGACACTGCAGCTTGGACCCCCCGGATTATGATGATCATTAACTGTGATTAGATCATTCTGATAAATGACTGACCATTAAGACGTGTTTCTGATAAATATATTAATGTGCACAATAATAACCTTTCACACTGTAATCATATTTTTATGTGTGGCTGCTCCGTGTGTGTCTGAGCAGAGTGCACGCGCATTGTGCACCCGCCTAGAGACGCATATTACTAACTTGATTAACAGCGAAATACTGCGCCGTTGACTTTAGACCAGGTTTTTGTTGGTCACTGGCGCATTTGCTTTTTAAGTCATCTAACTAGCAACGCGCCATGACTGTGCCTGACCACTCCTCATTTTTAGACCAACACACCCAGAGAAGCGCAAGTTCATTTGCTAGTTAGACGACGAGGGCGCAGGGCGTGAAAATGACAACTGCGCCTGCATCTAAATAGCAATGACATTTGCGTCATGGATTATGCGCCCTCCGCCGTCCGCTTTAGACCATCTAAATAGGGCCCTTTAAGTGAGAGTCGGCGCAGCCAGACCTTTCTTTTCTTGAGGAAGGTCTGGTGAGCGAGACTAGGTCGCCGCTACAAAGTCCCACTTTCCTGGAAGAACACATAGAAAAAAACTTTTGTTCCCACTGCCATCACCACCCTGAACAGTTTAAAATAACAATTTAAGTCCCACCCAGATACACTACTTTGTCGTATATCTTGTATAATGTCTATTGTGTTTTGTGTGTTCTTGTCTATTTTATTTCGGAGCTTGCCAAAGACAAATTTCTGTTACTTATGACAGACAATAAAGGTTTATCTTATCTTATCTTATCATCTTATTGCAGTAACACTAAGTACAGTAACCACAACTAGTGGGTTCCCCAGGTCAGGAGCCCAGGTTTAGAACAATAGAGTATGAATCTGGCTAAATATACAAATATACAAGATACAAGTGTTTTCAAGGAGCAGAAGCAAAAACCGAGCCTAATAGAGTAACAAGAGGAGTACGATAAGTACAAGAGTTAGAAAAAATGAATAAATATATATATTTGCTTTCAATAGCTTGGCACCCATTAACTGGTAACCACACCCTAACTAGTCCTTATTTAGCCAAAAGTTTACTATGCAGTATTGTCACAGTTACTGTTTGTAAGTGCTCACCAGTGAAAGTGAAAGTAAAAGCCGACCCCAGATTCACTTTCGTTTGGCATTTCACCTCAATATTTCTGTATTTTTTCAGCGCTGTGTCTCCAGTCTGTCACCTGGTCGCTACCTTTTTATAGAGCCCCGACCTCACCTGAGCGCTGTGGATGTATAAACTTTCTGAACACAGAAAATAAGAAGAAAATAAGAAAAAACACAGGCAGAGGGCAGAGTCTCTGCAATTTGACCAATTAAAGTAAACTCCAGAGCAGAAATAAGTATTTGATTTATGTGGAGAGATCCGGATAAGTCGTAATAAAAAGACAAAGGACACGGTGCCTTAAGTGTAAACCGTTTTCTGCTGAACGGATAAAGTTTTAACCACACAAAAAAATCCTCTTTCTCTTTCCTTTTCCTCAGAAGGACACACACATGGATGTTATGTTTTGCTTTTGTGTGTCAGAAGCACAATATGAATATATCTGCCACAGTAAGTAAAGAGCTGACGTTGTAAACTGAAACATGTGGGCACAGGACTGTACCAGTCACACAGGAATGCCCTCTGTTTTAAAGTGGTGCATGTCGCCACCCTCTGGCCAATAGAAGTACTACAACCAGCATTTCTCCAAGACAAATCCACGGCTCATAAACAGAATACAATCTGATGGACTTAGATGTAGTTTTAGTCCCCTTCAGATCCCATTAACCAGCCTTGAATAACCCTTGTGTGTGTGTGGCAGTGTGTGTGTGTAAGGTGTGTGCAACCCTAGTCCCGGTGTGCACAGATAAAGAGGTTCTGGATATAGCGATGAGGCCAGCTGGTCCTGCTATTTAAACCAGTTGGAGAGAGTACAGAGGTTAAGAGCAAAGTGAGATGTAATATCAGAGGAGGGCTGGTGGTGGTGGGGTGATCTGAAGTGAGGAAACAGTATTGGCTGAGGAGATGGGGAAAGTGTGGGGTCAGGAGAACTGAGGAGGAACAAAATAGTATTTAAGGTCACACAACGGCACATAATTTGGCTCCATTACAACTCACAAGGTTCACTGACAAAACAACTGTCTTATACTAAACACGTTTTCCAAACAAATACAACATGCTAATGCTATTAGCACAAGACTATGGCATTTTATATTGTATAAATTAGCCTAGCAGCTAGCAGACTTTTCCTCTTCTCATATAAAACCAGGGACAACAGCAACATTTAACAAAGGTAACGTTACAATATTCTGCTCCATTACAACTCACAAGGTTCACTGACAAAACAACTGTCTTATACTAAACACGTTTTCCAAACAAATATAACATGCTAACGTTATTAGCACAAGCCTATTGTATTTTACATTGTATAAATTAGCCTCGTGGCTAGCAGACCTTTCCTCTACTCATATGAAGCCAGGACAAATCCCTAAGTATTAATCACTGAAGGATAAATTACACACAAGACTCAAAATGCTATTTTGTGGAGGCTTTATTGTCTTCTATTGTTTCTTATTTATGGAATTAAAGTAAATAAAATATGAATTCACCATAACACAGGGTGAGTAACTGACATACAAATGGCCGTTTGGGGTGAAGTATTCCTTT